ATTCTGGAGATGGTATATTATTTGTTCAATGCCAAGTTTCATGCAAAGTTTCGTTAAAATCCGTGACGATGAGGTCCGAAAGTGTGATGATTTGACATGGAATGACCCGTCAGTTAAAAATAAACACTGAAAATGCGCTTAGGCTAAAATCGGTCTGTTTTAGGCATGGGGACCGACTGCAACGGCCCTCGCCAACCAGACCCCGGCCAATGCCCTGCATTCCCATTTTGAGTTTTGGACTAATTCCTGGACACTGACGATGGATGCACTTGACCCCTGAGATTTCTAGAGGGAGGTAGTGGAGAACCAGGCAGTGCTCTCAGCAAATCTGAGTAGGAAAGATACCAACCGAGTGACATTTCTGCAGCCAGAAAGCGTTAAACCCAGAGCACATGGCAAGGCTGCAGCCTCACCCCCCCTCCCCATCTGACAGCTGCTGGGGCAGCACGGATAAATCAGCTTCCCCTACTGTGACACAGCTTCCCAGGAAGGCCTTACTGAAAGCTGCTGTTCTCCACATAAACGTTTCATTTGTTATGCGGTAACAGCCTAGCTGAGGTCACGGGGAGGAACAGAACGCTTCCCGCTGCTGATGAGTTGGCCGTCGCTGCTGTACGCGTCATGGGACTCAGACCAATCGTCTGCCAGCGGTTCACATCTTAACACCCCCACAAGGACATGCAGCACAGTAAGAGAACAGCAAATTTAAGAATAAAACAGAACCACACACACACACACACACACACACACACACACACACCGCAATGAGGAAACACTAAGTTTGTGGACCTTCCCATCTTCCAGTCCAAGCCAATGCGGTAATGCAAGTTTACTACACCGTAAATAAATCTCATAACCTTGCCGTCTTTGCGCAACATTAGTTCAGTGTCGAACCATAATGCTTTTATGAACAGTGATTATAACCAAACGGAAAATGTAATAAATTGCCCCAGAGCCACATCAGATCCAGTCTCATATTACTGCAGTGTCACAGTGTTTAATACGAAACCTTTACCAGCATTATTCCTCACAGCAATGAAAAGCATTTAAATATACAATTCTAACGTTGATCGGCGAATAGCTTTTCACCCTGAAACACAAAGGTAGGAGGGAACTGCAGTAAACCACTCAGGGCTTCAGCGTGAGGCTTCGTGAAAGCAAACGTAGTCTGATAGACAGTCAGCATTAGTGAGATCTACATCAAACCAGAGAAATCTGAGCAGGAGAGGGGATTTGACCAAACGGCGCCAAATCATCCAATCATGAGCTACTCTGAGCTTCCCGAAACAGGAAGTTCACTGAGAGGATGGCGGCCAGGACACGGGCGGGCCGTGGGGAGTCAGCTGACCCCTGGCAGTCAGAGAGGGCTGTATCTCAGGCAGTAAATTAAGGACGGCGTGTACAGGGAGACTCTCGGCACCTGGGGCTACTTCAAGTCTCAGGAAAAGCTATTGGGGGGGGGGGGTCTAACCCTGAAACACCCCAGAATGACCTCCAGCTCAGTCAGGGAGAATGACTGTAAATGAGAAAAATGCAGACGAACAAACAGCCACCAGCACAACGACAGTGACCTCAACACAGACGCGGTATAAACCACACGACTCAGCTCGACCTTACAGCCGCCCTGCCTTTGTGTACTACATCCTCGACGAAGCCAAAGCGTTGTCTTCAAGGCTCTGATGGTCAGACACTAAATTCAGTGACATTCAAAAAAGGCCCCAAACAACAAAATCGATTCAACAATAACATGCGACAGCCAATGCTTGTTGTCGTCAAGCATAAGTGCCCCTTTCATACAGCCATCAGTTAGCCGGCTGCATATTTACACTGACATCACTCAATTAGGGTTTAATAACCCTTTGATTTCACGATTCCAATCAGATATTTATGCAGAAAAAGCTCATGGTACCATTAAACAAGCTCCGTGCTGGACTTCAGGAAGGACGTCCAGTTCACTTCTTTAAACGCCACGTTTTTGTCATTTGTACAGTGTCATTAGCACTGCCAAACTCCTCGCACATTGCTTCACCGCTCAGAGAAAGGCAAAGGGTTGTTTAGTGTTTTTGCGACATCCACTCACACGGTCTTGAGTCTCTGCCTTCAGCGGTGTGGTTCTCCTGGACCTCTGACAACACAGCACTTCCTAGTTTGGCGTGAGGCACTAGCAGGAACACGCAAATCGAGAATCCTGCAAGTTGATCTTTGTATTTGGTAATGGTGCAAGTCCCCCAACACTGATATCAAACTGTTAATGAAGCACTGCCTAATATTTAATCTTACGTCCAGGCTCTGAGGATCAGATTGTCAACGAGAAGCTTATGGAGGGACCAATCTGTGGAAAACAGGAACCCCAACGCCTGGGAATGGAATCCCCGCCTCAGGGGTGGCTCAAGACTGCATTTCAAAAGACCACAGGCTGTTATTTTTCTCCTCAACATTTGTGCAGAGCTACATTAAAGCGGGGCTGAAGCTTCAGGATCTGTACTTGGAAGTGACTCGTAACTTAATATAGGTGAGGTAAGGTACACAGGAATTAGAAATCTGATGCCTCTCAGATTTAATTAATATCCTGCCAAACGCTGCTAGGCTTACTCAGGCCTCTCCCTGTATGAACGCAAACCAAGGGAGGAAGTGAGTGAGCAAGGGAGCGAGTGAGGGACAGATGCCTCTTATTGTTCTTTACAGCCCAGGACATAAATCACGCGAGTCACCTTAACGGCACGTTGGTAACCTCCAGTTAAATAACCATTTAAATATTTGTGACAATGAGGTGAATTGGGGATTTAGGTGTGTCATAGCAACAGAGATTAATGCAAATGATTAACAGGATTAAAGCATTTTTTTCTGTTTGCAAATCTGGGTGGCTTTAGTGGCTGACTACAATCTCACGTCTCCAGAATCAGGGGTTCAGATCCAGTATGACTTTCCTCAAGCTGCACCAGTTTCCACCTGCAGTCAGTCCAAAAACGTCCATCTAGGTGAATCAGTCTCTCTGAATTTCCCATAGCATGTGCTGTTCTCCCTCGGACCCTGACCTTGTACTGGGTAAGCAGTCCAGAGGATGGAAGGATTTGTAGACACCGTAATAGAAATACTTTGTGTTGAGTTTACACTTAATGTCAAACCTTTCCAAAATGCACAGCTGAGTATATAAAATGGACTGAAACAGTCAGGGGGAGTGTGACTGGAGACGTGCTACCTCAAACGCACATGTTCCAGCAGGCTTCTGCAAGCCAGGAACACCGACAGGAAAGTGATATGCTATCTAGACGTGTTCCTCCCGTCAGGTGGAGCATTCTGCCCGTGTGACCTCTCGGTCTTTAAACAGCAGCCAGGGAAGGCAGGAGATGACACGGATGCCTGCCAAACGTCAACGGAAAGCATTTAAATCTAAGACTCCAACATTTATTGGCGAATGGCCTTTCGCCCTGAAGCAGGAGTGAACTGCTGTGAACCACTCTGGGCTTGAGCGTGAGGCTCTGCGGTGGCAAACACTGAACGGCACACGGCCAGCACCAATGGAGCCATCAAACACGAGATCCGAGCGAGAGAGGAGACATCATCGATTTCGCCAAGCGCCCCCAAATCATCAGCCACCCTGAGTTTCCCAAAACAGGAAGTTCACCGAGAGGGTGGTGGCCAGGGCTGGGGCGTGCCGCGAGTCAGGTGACCCTGAAGGGCTGGCAGCCAGAGAGGGCTGGATCTCAAGCAGCAAATTAAGGGCAACACGTAAAGGGAGAAGCTGAGCCTGGTAGTCAGAGCGTGGGGTGCCGGGCCTGATGGAATGCAGAACCTGCTGGGCCACATGCAAACCCCACTGAGCGTGTGCGAAAAGCCACCTGAGGAACGGGGGGGGCTCGGAACTCTCGCATATGCAGCCGAAGCCGTCAGCAGGGACAGCTGCAGTCTATATAGGGAAAATGCGGATCGGTAAATAAACGAACCGCAAACGGCAGACACCCGGGGCACGAGTCCATTCCAAACGCTTCAGCTTCTTTGCTTGCTGCCTTTGAGATGCAGTCAAGCTCAATTAAAAGCTCCCTTCGGCCTCGATGACAACACAATCCAAACGTCACTCATCTATATTTGGACTCCCCCCGCCCCCCACCCCTTTCACACAGTCTCCATATTTTCTGTTGCTATACAAGTTGTGGAGATTTCTTCTTGCTATTATATTATACTTTGTGCTAAATGTAAAAAAAAATAATAATAATAAAAATAAATAAATAAAGCTTACTGACTGTTGGAACATTTAGTCATCCAATAAAAGCCCTTTGACAGGACGCCCATATAAGGGATGGTAATGGGTGATTCTTGAGGTGCAGCACGGGGCTAGCCTTGAGCCAAACACAGCATTTAGTGCCGAGATCAAGGTTTAGTCCCATCAGACCATAAAAACCTCCCACATGCCGCAGGGCAAGATAAGCAAGCTCGACCCAACCAATGAAGGCTTTCCTTTCACAACCTTTCCACAAAGCCCATGTTTATGATACACAGTTGTGTCATCTTAGCCATGGAAGACCAGCTCTGCTCCGTCAGAAGGAGTGGAAGCCTGCCAGCAACCTCCCTGAGAAACGACCTTCTTGCATGAAAGCGCAGTTCGAGGACAATGCGCTGCAGGCAGATTCAGCTGTGCTATATTCTCCCTGCAACCACGGAGGCGCATTAAGGGTCTTGAAAATAACTGTGGGATCTCCAAGGAGAGGTGGATTTATTCTGTCACACCAGATCCCTCGACTATAGAGGTAGAATATTTGGTTGACATCCAAAGACTGTCAGAGACTCTCCTGTTAGCTCACGCTAGGGGACTAATGCTGTAAATTATTTTTCGTTCATGGACTCCAACCACCTTCACATTATAAACTCTGCACACGATTTGAGAGAAGGGACGCTGACAACTGATACTCAACGATGTAGCCGTGCTACATGATGCAAGCACGGCGTGACTGAAGCCAGCAGGAATGAACACAGCGGTCCCGGAACACTGGGCTGGGTCTTACCTTCTCGCTCTTCACCTTCTTCACGGCCCTACACTCCCCGTTGTCCAGATCCTCCGGCTCTGTCTTGATGGCCAGCAGAGGCACTGGCCCGACAGGCTCCAGAACGGCATTCCCGAGCGGCTCGGCCGCAGCCAAGTCCGTGCAGGGTGTCGCCTCGAAGGGCGCGCTGCGCGCAGCCCCCAGGGTGAGCGGTGGCGCCCCAGTGTCCTTTTCCCCGGTGACTCCGCTCTGCACCCCTTCAGCTTTCTCCTTCTTGCTCTTTGCAGAACCTGCCTCTTTGTCCTTCTTCCCCGCAGGGGTACTGCGGGAGGCCTTCCCGCTCTTTTCTGAGCCCTTCCCGGCCCCCGGAACGCCAGCAGAGGCCATTCCCGCCGTGGTGGCTGTTCCCTGGGGCTCCTTCTTGGCCCCGTCGGCGGCTGATGCCTTGGAGCCATCTTTAGAGTTCTTGCTGCGCTTCGATTTTGACTTGCTCTCCTTACCCTGGGGGGTGGGCACGGGGCTCACAAATTTAATATTGTCGGGCAAAGCCGCCACGGCACTGGGGGGCGCCGCCATGCCCCCGGCTTCCTTGGTGCCAGACATTTCAAGCTTGTCCTTTTCGAGGTCGGCGTCGAGATCGATGATCAGATTGCCCACGCCGATGTCCCATTCATCGCCGCTGTCGTAAGCGTCCACCGCGTTCGAGTCCACACCTTTCCCGCCTGCAGGGCCACTGTTCAGGGACATCTTAGTGCCAGTGGCCCAGGTTTTGCCGCAGCGTGGTCCGACACTTTCTCAGACTTCTGGGGGGCAGCGGGAGAAGGGTTACGATCAGCCTCACAGTTTCTGTACCCCCTTCCCAGCTAACCACATTTTGCCCTGGGGAAAGAAGGGGGGGGAGAGAGAGAGAGAGAGAAAATGATTACACATATAACAGTAGCTATGAGCATCCGGCACCTGACAAGCAGAGCGAGTCACCGAGACAAGTCCTTGACCAGAATGAAAAGCAGCCAGAAGCTCAGCCGACAGATTAAATCAGCCCAGGGATAAACAGCCCCCAGCGGAGACACAATAAGGAGTCAGACAGCTCTCCTGCACACAAACAGCCCCCACTTAGAGCCAAAGCTGCCAAAACGGCCGGAAAGACAGGACAAGACGGGCAAGCGGGCTGAGGGCGCCCGGATCGGGTGCCAATCAAACGGCGAGCATCTGAGGGCCCAAACAAAGGCGTCTCTGTGCGAGGGGGGGGGGACCTGAGCAGGCTCCAAGCACGTCTTTAGTCGAGCAGGTCAGGGCAGTCCCCAAGCACGATGCCCGAGTGGGCAGACGGATGAGCGGACGAGAGGGCCGGCGGGCACTCTTCCGTACGGAAAGACAGGAAGCCTTTAGGGACTCCTTCACTAATGCCAGCGATCCCTTCACTGCCAGCAGTTGTTCTTTACATCCCACATTTAAACCTTCTAGTCCATAATTAAAATACACCTTACAGCAAAATACATGCCAATTTGCAAACCACATTTTCGCGCATTAAAATAAATCTACAGCTGAGTTCTGCATCAGCTCCTAGAAATTTCCATTTTCCCCTTATCACTCAAATTTAGGCTGTAAACGAGAACAATTTTGAGCTTCCGTCCTGATAAATGCTAATTCCCTGTGCGTAACCCTAATGCATTCGCAGGGTTTAGGGGAAAAGACTCCTGGTAGCATATCACCAAACACCTGAAATCCCATTCTGAGCTGCCGCAAGCAGGACTCTGATGGTTAAATGTGGAGCCACCAGGGGTTTCTCTGGCCTGGGTCAGGGGGGGGTCGGGTCGGGTCAGCGGCACCAGGCACTATGCCTTTCTGTGCCAGGTAGAGGGAGACGCCCCCTGAAATCGCTACGCGTAGGACATGTCTACCGAGGACCCAATGGGGAGCCCCATCTCCAATCACCACGGCGACCGTCAGAACCAGATGTCCCGCCAATACGGAGCCAGAAACATGCCTAAAGTAGATGGCAAGCTGCGGGTCATGGATTGGCTGGGCAGGAGGAGAAACCCACACCAAACAGAGCATCACTGCAACCCCCCCCCCCCCCCCCCCCCCACATGTCAGACAGCTCTGCCAAAGCTAGAATGTCAAGAACAAGGCCAATCGTCAATGTGTCTGCCCAAACTACAATCCAGCCACATGTCAGTCGATGTGACCATCAGCTAGGACAGATGCATGGCCCCTTTATTATAAAGGGTGGCTTAGAGACAGAAGCGGGATTTGTGTGTGGGGGGTGGGGTGTTAGCGAAGGGCGAGATGTCACAGCGTCCTGGTCTGGGGACTCTAGCAGTTCTGTAGTGATGACAGGCCGTGCTCAAACTGCTACAGTCCACAGGCACGGGGTTCTGATGGAAACTGACTCAAAATGAACAGAAAGGTGTGGGAGGGACAAAGGGCTCATTGACAGAGAACAGGCGAATTACTGGGTTTTGCTTTGCTGACACAGACACAAAAACAATCCACTGAGGACACGGGAAGGGCTCAGGTTATCGTGCGAAAATAATGGTGGGGGCAGGGCTGCACGCATGACCACAATCAGGGCGTTAATGGGGGGTGAAGGAATCGGATTCCACAAAGCGATCCAACAAGCCTCTAGCCTTCTCACACCGTCAGCAGGGCTAATAACAGCAGCAGCAGCAAAAACCCTGGTAAAGTGAGATCCTTCCTCAAAGTGAGATCAACACACTCCACACCATTATACACAGGAGAACCACAGATCTCTACAAGTTCAAACAGAACAGAGCAGGTTTCTATGCCAAAGTCTCAAACCCTGATTCACACCAATGCCCCCACCTAAGTCAATGCAGAGTGGGGAGGCATGGAGTCTGTCTTCACCGAGAGCTTTGGGCTGGCCGAGTACAGCCCAGTCATCAATCAGGGCTTGTGTCAAAAGAAAGGAAAGTACCCATGACAGCATAGCACTTGGCTACGAAAACAGAGCGGTATATTTGGTAGAGGCCACAACGTTAAATGAGAGGCTCATCCGGGATATCCCTTAGGTGAAGCCAAAGTCAACATGGACCATTAACCCAACATCAAAATGCACTCAGCTCAACCCACAGCCCGTCAGTGACTCATTGAGATGGAGGTTACGATGGGGAAAAACGTGGAGGAATTCTGAGGAGTTGCGGTATTTCCCAAGATCTCTGATTCTCTCTCCACCTTCAAGAAATGCCAAGACCCGTCTGTTCCAGGAATTCCTTTACTAGCCTAAACCACTCTGCGGTCCCCAAATGCTCGTGGTGTTGTACTTTCTGATAGTTAAAGTTGTATTAGGTTCTTTTTTTGGGAGATGCTGAGCAGCTCCTGCTCCAATACTGCTTAGACTCATTCATCGGAAGCTCAGCCTAGCTGGACTCATGCTTGGACTCATTCATCGGAAGCTCAGCCTAGCTGGACTCATGCTTGGACTCATTCATCGGAAGCTCAGCCTAGCTGGACTCATGCTTAGACTCATTCATCTTTAACCGAGCTGTACTCGTGCCCAGCCGACTCCTTGACAGCATTTATGCCCGAAATGTATTATTTGCCTGTTATTTGGTTATTTGTACACCACTCTTAACAAATGCATCTGCAAAATAAAATGAATGTTATGCTTATAATTGCTGGGTAAAACCGTGTGGGAATGGATATCGTGCAAGAAACCCCAAAGGCTGGACTGAGCACAGATGCCGAATCCAGTGCAGGAAGCCTCTAAATGGAAACAGGACAAGCTTGGGGTCGCACCGGCAATCTGAGGCTGGAGACGCGGGCAGCTGTGGGGTGAGGTTCTTCCACGTCCCCCCCCCCCTGCAATCAGCCCAGCCTCCCTTGCTACGTCACAACGTGTGCTAATCAAATACACTCAGGGCCTTGCTGCTAACATGCGGCGCACACATGCAGCAACGACACCACATCAAACGATGACGCGGGACATTCCTGCAGCACTCATGCGCCTGCAGACATACTCGCATTAAAGAGGCCAAGTAAAGCCCCCACATTCAAAGGTGCAGTCACAAGTGCACAATAAAAAGAGAGGATTTTTCCAGATTCAGAGGGATTTATGTTACGGGATTACACATACTGCACACATACCCAAGCTTACAACACCTTCACTTTTACATTCTCCGAAACGGTCAATGTTGACACTACATAATAAAAGGTTACTACCTCCACAGATGTTTAACAAGAAGACCAGCAAAGCATATCAAAATCAAGACCAAAGTGAGGTGTTTTTGCTCTTCTTTACAGATACGTGTCTCCTGGGGTCTATCAAACGCAGGCGAGCCTGTTCCGGCACTGACTCATTTCCAGGCATGCATCACCTGCTCCTGTGCAAGTGTGTCCTTTGCAGAAATGGTAGGCATGTACGCTATGTCACCTTGTAATTAGACGCATTAAGGAAAAAATCTGAGCGAGCCTGCAATGTCACACCCAGCCAATCACAGCCAGGGTCAGAGCGGCTTATTTTCAAGCCCCTCCAACCAGAAAATGCCACACGTGGTCACCTCCCCTCTGTCCGGCACCATCACCATCCGACACCCCCCATAATCCTAGTCCATAGCCAAAAAGTACAGCACTTTCATCACGGCAAAGAAAAGCTGATTCTCTTTCATGGAGATTCAAGCATATATATTTCAAACTGCATACGAATAACGAACAAATACTTGCAGTTTATAGTCCTAGTTCCACATTTCACTATAAACCCAAAGTGAGAGAGGCCCTCTGCACAGACTCTGCATGAACCAATGAATGATTAACACCCACCCCTGCAGCACTTGCCTGCCTGCAATAATGGGCACACCGGGGACCCTTGAACCACACTCCTGAGAATGCAGACCAGCTCAGAGCGGCACGAGCTTTCCTTCAAATACCTGCCGGCCCGTACAGCCGCCACCAGCTGCGGCTCCGGCGCAACCACAATGAGAGCCAGAACCGCAACTGAGGCCCTCAGTTTCAGAGCGTTTCCTCAAAGCTTAAAAGCGACTAGTGAAAGCCAGCGGCTGCCCAGGAGCCTCCTAACTGCTACCTGGGATGAGAAGCAAGGCATTGGTCACAGTCAGCATCGTGAGATAAAGTTCTCTTCGAAGCTATAGGTGGAAGAATTGACTTCAGCCTCCTGGAGCTGCCAAAGTGGAGGCAGGAACATCTTGACCAGCACCATCAGAATCAGCTCCAAGCTATCCTGTGCTCTCCATTGTTCCCTCGCCGGTCAGGCCCTCCTCCATCAAATATGTCAACATCGAAACACAGGAGTCCCGGCACTCGGGTGGCATTATCGTGAAGTGTTCTGAGGGGAGGTACTGGTCTATTTCCCATGTCTATCTGACCACACACAGCTCCAGGAGATATCCTTCAAAAAGACGCACGAGAACATTAGCTCTCTGCTAATCTAGGCCATTCTCAACCCTCTCCTAAATTCCTCAAGCCTAAACGGTGATTCTGCACCATACTATTCCACGTTCAATCACTGCCACTCTTTATTCTGACCCAGTACCAGAACAGCATCAAACCGTTCCAGCTGACACCGCCCGAAAATGAAAATGCTGCAGAACATGCACCCAAACAGGAAAGAGCGAGCGAGATCCATAACCCATCCGTGGATGGGCGCCGCCTCACAAACGGCACCCTATCTAATCACCTCATCCACAGGGGCTCCAGAAAGCCTACCCGTTCCTCGCCCTCCTGCTCCTCTTATTGGAATCGATCTGTTCTGTACGCGAGCAGAGCAGAGCAGCGCAACCGCAGCCTAGGAGCGTGACGGGAATTTCAATCAGCCCCCGCGCCGGCATTTGCAGGGAGAGGTTGCCACCGGCGCCCACACGCCGACAAGCCGTCCGCTCTGCTCTTCGCTCTTCAAGTATTGA